TTAGTTAAAATATACTCACTGATATAACATGTGCAGTAGACTAGCAATAGAACAATACTAAAATATAACAGAGACGAGTACAAGAACAAATATACGAAACAGTAAAAGAATCACCAGAAAAAATCACGGTAGTAAATTCATAACTTTCATAGTATGAGAAATGTACTCAAGATATCAAATCAAATGGGCACGACAACACCCTTCGTGTATTTATCTCATCTTCACCAAATATATGAATGTAAGTCAAATCAATTGGCACGACAACACCCTTCATGCATTTATCTCTTCCTTACCAAGCATACGTATAACAATACCAATCAGGTGAAAGAAATGCCAATAACAATAACGATAAAGTGGGAGATGCACAGGTAGAAATAACGAACAACGCAGAGCACATGGGTAACGATAACAGACAAGATAGGAGGCATAGAAGTAATGATAGCATTTAAGGTAGAAAAACATAAATTTCACTAGCTAACATAGTAGAAGGGTTAGATATAGATATAACAAACATGAAGGAAAGCATGATCTTTATAAGCTAAACAAATAGAAGGCATGAATAACTAACATGGTAGAAGGCTTATACGAAAGTACAATAAATGAGAAACGACATGGATGTAGATATAACAACAAGAAGGAAAGCATGATATTTGCAAATTAAATAGATAGCAGGCATGGACAATATAGAAACAATTGAAATAGAGGACAAAGACAGAACAACAACGATAAGTCACATAGAAAATATAGGTGCAACAATAACAACTCAAGGTGAAGGCATGAATGTATACACAAAGAAAATATATCACCACATAAAGCATGTCTCTCGTCCTCGCCTGCACGGAAACACTCTTCGTGCCATGAACACATAATAATATAAAAACATGATAATGTAAATGAAATGACATGGCATCTCCCTTCGTGCTTTTACTCTCATCCTCACATGATAATGTAAATAAAATGGCCCGGCATCATCCTTCGTGCTTTTACTCTCATCCTCACATGATAATGTAAATAAAATGGTACGGCATCACCATGCGTGCTTTACAATCTTCCTCACATGATAATGTAAATAAAATGGTACGGCATCACCCTTCGTGCTTTTACTCTCATCCTCACATGATAATGTAAATAAAATGGTACGGCATCACCATGCATGCTTTATAATCTTCCTCACATGATAATGTATATGCAATGGCACGATATCACATTTCGTGTTTTACACTCTTCCTCACATGATATTGTATATGCAATGGTACAACATCGCTCTTCGTGCTTTACACTCTTCCTCACCAAGTACATGTATATCAATAACAAGCAAGGTAGGAAGCATGAATATCATCACGGAGAGTGATTAAGCGAATATTCCAAATGAACATCAATCACATCTTTCAAGCCAATAACAATTCAATAAACATCAAGAACCTTATTGCTCAAGTATTTCAACAAGTCTCAAAAACGATCTTCAACTAAAGTATAGAATCCAATATCTCAAGAATAACGGTCGTAGCGATGTATTAGTGATTAAGCATAGTGATGACCGAATTTAACAAATCAATAGTTTCACAAAAAGTCGTCATATTTTAATCAAGTTATAATAAGCTAAATCTTGGTTTCTAGCATTTCATTTCATATTCTTAGTAATCTAGAAGTCAAGTAAGACATGAAACAAAAAGGTCAAATAATTCTGCAAGGAACAATTAACTGTATATTTTACCCCTGAGCATGATTAACCCTGGCACATGTATATACGATTTGTCACCTCATATATGCATAACCCCCGCATGTAGCAAACAAGGTCAATTAGTAAGAAAAATTCTCCCAACAAAGTTATGTAAGACACTTACCTCAATCAAGCCAAATCGATAAACTAAAAGCGCCAACCCGCTCAAATCATCCTTCTAACGGCTCGAAACTAGCCAAAAGCAACTCAAAATCATTAAATAATGCCAAACGAAGTAAACCCAAACGATAAAGGTCGAATCTTAACACATTTACTCAAAGTCAACTAAAAAGTCAAACCCGGGCTCGCACCTCAGAACCCGACAAAACTCACAAAATCCGATAATCCATTCAATTACAAGTCCAACCATACTAATTTCACTCAATTCCTACTCTGAATCGATATTCAAAACTCAATAATTCATTTTAGGAAAGTTTAGATAAAAACCCCAAATTTCTCTTTTGAAATCATCAATTAAATGCCAAAAGCGAAGATGGAATCACGGAATATAATCAAAACCGAGTAGCAAACACTAACCCCAATCCACGTAGTAAAAATCGCTTACAAAATTATCCAAATTCGAGCTCCATAACTCAAAATATGATAAAATGTCCGAAACTTTAGAAATAGAGTACTTTATAACACTGCTCCAGCAATACCCTTCGCGAATGCGGGAAGACCATCGCGTTCACAATGAACAAAATCTCACCGCCACAAAAAGACTCTACGCGAACGCGATGCACATCAGATCCAGACCTTCGTGAACGCGGCTACTACTTCGCGAACACGAAGACATTTCCTTCAGCTAGCTCCCCGCTCCTCAACTCAACTCTATGCGAACGCGACACTTCAGCGCAAACGGGGAACACAGTTAGATTACCTTTCGCGAATGCGTTTCATATATCGCGCCCGCGAAGACCAAATTCACAGCTAACCAAAATACACTTCGCGATCGTGGTTGGACCTTCACAATCACAAAGAACACCAGAAGCAACAGGTAACAGCAGAAACCAGCAAAAACAGCATGGCCTAAAATTGTTTGAAACCCAACCGAAACTCACCCGAGCCCCTCGGGACCTTGTCCGAGCATACCAACAAGTCCCAAAACATAACACGATTCTACTCGAGGCCTCCAATCACACATAACAATATCAAAATCACGAATCGCACCTCAAATCAAACTTAATGAACCTTTAAACTTTTAACTTCCAAAACTCGTGTCGAACCATATCAAATCAATTCGGAATGACCTCAAATTTTGCACACAAGTTTCAAATGATATAACGAACTTATTCTAACTCCCTGAACCATAATCCGAACCCAATAATATTGAAGTCAACTCCCAGTCAAACTTATGAACATTCCAAACCTTCAAATTTCCAACTTTTGCCAAATAGTGTCGAAACCATCTAAAAACATCCAAATGAAATTTCGAGATTACGCCCAAGTCCAAAATTACCATCCGGACCTTCTAGAACCATCAAAACTCCGATCCGAGGCCAAATAGACAAAAATCAAACTTTGTCAACTCTTCCAATTTAAAGCTTCTAACATGAGATTCATTTCTACAAATCCGTTCCGAGGCACCTGAAAACCAAAACTGACGATTCGCACAAGTCATAATACATCATATGAAGCTACTCAAGACTTCAAACAATTTAACGGAATGCAAATACTCAAAATGACAGGTCGGGTCATTACAAAAACTTACCGAAATGAATATTTGGGAAAACTATAACCCCCGCCATCTTGTTCATAAATATCGTAGCTACGATATCGCTTCTAGCTTATGGAAATACATTATCCCATATTTGGAATTCCATCGCGAGAGCCGTTTATACAAAATTTCGGGTAAACTATAGCCACCTCCTTCTTTGAGTAACCTCTCTATATATATATATTTAAGGTTAGCTCACTTGAGCTTCCTCGCCTTTCACCATATGATCAGTTGATTGCTTTTCAATTTGAAGATTAATTTACAATCCAAGAGACGTCTTCAGCTGAAACCATAGATTGGTTTACTAAACAAAATTATTTCAATGGTTCAAAATGACAACAAGGGATTATTCCTGTCTTTTAGCCTCACAAGAAAGACGGGAATACAAACGAAGGAAAGACTGCAACTTCAACGTAACTGGTCTCCTTTCCGTCTTCCTTAGAAATTGATTTAAGTATGAACGCAAATGACTTGAAATAGGTAGAGAAAATTTAGGAAAAGCCGATTATCCTTCTTTTACGAATAAAATTCTTATAGTAATTAGTGTAGAAAATCATTTCCTCAACATTTCTTGAAGTACCTAATGATGGGGTCCACACCCATTAAAAGAAAATAAAAAAAGGTTGTAACACAACCAAAACAAGTTTTGGCCAAACTTGCTTTTGATATCAATTTGCAAGAATCAAATTGGCAAGTTGCAACGAGGCAAGCTTCTGATTGGTTGAAAGTGAGGCCACTTCCTATAAATAGATGTATCGGCTTCATTCTTTAGACACACAGAAGAAACAAAGCTTCAAGTATTTTACAGATAGAAAAATAGGATAAATAGAGTGTGAGCGTTATTGTAGTGAAGTAAGAATCTCAAAAGAGGTTATTTCTTTTGAGTGTATAGTGGTTCTTGGAATATTTACTCGAGATTACGAAATATAAAATTTCTCATTATAGTGGATTACTTTGCTCCTCTCGGGCCCGTGGTTTTTCCCTTATTCAGAAGGGTTTTCCACGTTAAAATCTTTGTGTTCTTGTTGTTATTTTTGTTGATTACTGTATCTCGAAACTATGTTATTATTCCGATGTTATTACCGTGAATATTATTTCTGTGAGAATTTATTCCCATCTAATTCATGTATTAACCTCACCTTGTTCAGCATTTCCTGGAATGCCTCTTTAAAAAGTACGTAGTAACACCTCATCTTCAAACAGTACAAATCTTCGAGTTGGCTAATTATTGAAATCTAGGACTAATGTTAAACAATTAAAGCAGCCAGCTTTATAATGAGTTATGATTTAATTTGACTTTCATTTCATTTGTTTAATTTTAATTAATATCTTTTCTTTATCCTGAGTGTTCATTGAGAAATTTAAAAGTGCTTTATTTTAATATTTGAAGTTCTCGTAAATTTGTGTTTAGCTTAATTTAACCAAATTTAATTGATAAAAGTTAATGTGAAAAAAAATACACATGTTACGCATTTGTTGGTTGGTGCATTCAACGGACCGGGATAAGTTTTTTTTTTTGGTTCTCCCACCTTTTATTACATTTTCCTTTCATTCATTTTGAGCCTGCCTTCCCAATTCCTTGTGAAAGGAATTGAGAAATGCCCTTTTACAGAATTCTTAGAATGGGTTGTGGCGTTTCCAAGATAGATGCCAATGGCGTCGCCACACCTAACAGGATCCTCCCCAATTTCCCCAATAGAAGGAGGCACAAAGAATGCACCCCTTCAAAGAAAGAACCATTGTTGTTGATGCATGAAATACCAGATGAAGATCATGCAAATATTAATAGACATTCAATATCTGCTCCAAAATGTGATGACAATATGAGTTGTGTCACCTCTGAGGGGTCTAATGAAAAAAGGGTTGCCAAAATAATGGCAATTGTTCAAGAAGAGGAAAAATATAATGAAGGAGGAGGAGTGCATGAAAATGAAGAAAATGGAGGAGAGAAGGATGATAATAATGACGACGACCTGAGGGCCATTAATAAGCTTCGTGTTGACGAGGAAGATGGTGATCTTTACCCTAGTTCACCAAGTTTTAGGGTTTATTTCACCGATACGGATGTTGAAAGCAACAAGAATGACGGTATGTATAATCTTAAATTGACTAGCTTTATTCTTATTTATCGATCTTTTCTCTGTTAATAATGATTAATAGTTGCGGCAGGTAATAACAAGGTTGGCCTGAAGAACATAACCCCAGTTGCAGCTACCACCATATCATCAACAAAGGTATGCATATGATTTCATTTACAATTAGCTCTGTTCAACTATAAAGGGCTTGACATATTATCTTTCCTTATTTCCTTCTGCGTTAATACATTGGCCATCATGGCCCTACGTAAAATTGAGATCTGTTACCTTCTTTTGCCTCATTTCTTTTTCTTTTAGAAAAAAGCTACATTATATTTAACTAAAAGAACAAATTCATAGCTTATTGTTTACCCTAAAAAATGGAAAACAATTGAATTTATATGTGGTTTTAAGGATACGTGGACTAATTCAATACGAGTGATTAATGACGTTAGATTAAGCAAATGAAGAACGTAATAAATGGCCAAACCAATGATAAGAGTAATTCCGAGCTCGGTTGATGGCTCAATGAGGAACCTGCCCTCGATTCCAAGCTAGCACTTATGAAGAACTTAAGAACAAAAATAAGAGTTTTTAACAACAAAGAGAATTGAAATAAATTGTCTTGGTATGCGTGTTGCAATGTTCGTCGTGAATAATAAGCTTCCCTCTTTATATAGTAGGGGAGTTTTACCCTAAGTACAATTCTAAGAAAGGTAAAGAAAATTTATTTTGCTAATCACTGATTTTCTGCCGATACGGACCGAGATTCACGCTGCGATATCCGGTTGGGCACGGACATCACGACCATTTGTTAATCGTGTGCAACTGTTTGGTAATGCTTTCCGAAATCTTGATCCTCGAACAAGACCCGGAGGACATGGCCCCGATACCCCCGAGGAAAGGTGTTTTGCCCGACCCCGATACGAGGGGCTCCTCGCTCTGACTCCGATTTATTGCGGTCACGTTCCTATTCTGTTTGCCTCACCGGAAAATCGAGGTGTTCAGTGGGCTCTGTTTTACCCGTATACACTTATATTAAAAAGAAAATAGATATAATTTTTCCTATTTCAATAAGAATATTGATAGCTATTCATTTTCAAAATATGTAAAATATTTTCATCATTCCCCACCTGCGTGCCTTAATTATTGTGATAGACGTGTTAATTTTGCTATTAGAAGTGGTAGCAATTGTCCGTTTATTCAAAATCAGTTGGCTTCCAAATTCTACTAATTGAGTTATGCTAATATTCATTTCATTTTTTTAGAAATGAGAAAATTGGGGTAGGAGAAATAGGGGAAGGGATTACAAGGTGGGAAATCAAAATTTTACCAAGAAGACAAAAGTTCATGTAGTCAACCAATTGAGCTACTAAGATTCTCATATTAATATTTAGTTAATTTAAACTTATAACATTCGTATGTAATCATAAATATAATACATATTACTTTATATATTGGCTTAATAGACCAAAAGATTGACTGCCATCAAACTCAACATGCATTCACCACCGTTTTATTTCTTTTCTAGCTCTCACTTCCTCATATTTCCTACAGGAGTGTGTGGTCAAGGAGGAAAAGAAGGAAATAAGAAAGAAGAGTTTTAGAAATGTACTACCAAGAAACCTGTTGAATGTTCGATCATCGTCTAACTCTTCAACTCGCTCCACACACCACCACAATACTCATCATCCAGCTTGATCATATCATGCAGAAGGGAACAACACCTCCACAGGCTTCGTGTAATTAATGGGAATTTGAGAATTGAAGTGTAACCTTTCAACAAAAAGAACAGACGTTGAATTTATTTGTAAACAAAATATTCTTCTATATTTGTTGTTTTCCTTCCTTTCTTATATACACTTCTACCTGTTTTGTTAGACGTTTCAAATATACTATTAACAAGACGTGATGTTATTGGTTTTGGATTAAGTTGGTAGAATTTTCACAATGTGAATCTCACACGGAAAATTAAATTCTTTGACTCATGTAATCTAAGCAGATCATTCTTTTGGGACAATTCCATAATTAGATTGAATTTAATTTGACTAAATTCCCATTTCTCAAAAGGATCGAAAGAAGTGAAAACTGTACTTTGCACCATTTGGGCTTTCGGCCATAGGAAGAATTAATCCAAATAGCCATTCAATCAACCACTTAAATTAAATATAACCCGACGGATGTATAATAGATGTATGATTTATGTATAATTATGTGAATAATCGTGTATAATGAGTGTATAATTTATGCATTCCGACTAAAATAAATAAATAATATATCTAACTTGCTATTTATGTAAAGATCCGTATTATGAGCACGTGCTGAAATTCATATGCATGGACAGGTACAATTTTATCCATGGACCTAACGGACTACATCTTGTTAATGTCTTTGCAATGCTATAAACAAAAATAACATAATATGAGAATAACAATTATTAAAGCAAACTAATGATATATTTGATTAAGATAATCGAAAGTAGTCTGAATAATGAAATAGAGAAGGAATCTAGAACCCTAGGTGAATGTCTCAAGCAAAAATCAAAATTATCTGATCGCCTCCCAAGAACAACAAAGTAGAACCCCTAGATATAAAGGAAGGAGAAGATTACTTGTCAAGAATCCAATCCTTGAAAATAGATAATCCAAAGTCGAACTCGAACAACCAAGAAGTTCCAAATCTCTCTCAAGAACTTTTTTAAGTCAAAATATGCTAAGTGGCTAATGAAATAACCCTAGTCTATTATAAATACAATGGAAAAAAGTTCCAAAGTTAATTTTCCAAAACAGGTCGCCAGGCCAAACCGTAACCCCAATCGTGTTACACCTCTGAACCTTGTCGAATTCCAAAAGCTTGTTTTCTTCACCTCTTCAGGGCCCTCTTGAACCGTAGCCAATGGTTGGTGAAACCGTGTCACACGGGTTGTGTTGGGATCTTTGATACTTTAATTCTCAAGACTCCAAACATGGTATTCTTTGCATGAATCTTCAAAGTAACTCTCTAAACATCTTCTAATCAGTTCTCAAGACTCCAAACATGTATTCTGACTCTCTAAACATCTTCTAGTCAATTGTTGAAAATCATACAGCTTCTTAGTGTGCATCCCTTGAACGTTCTTGGACTTGGAGCAAGTCAACAGACCTCTAGATAATTCGGGTCATCCTCAATATTTTCCATTCTGCCCAAGTTATCTAGGATCGCCATGTTATCGCCCGAGTCCTACTTAGATGTCTTACTTGAAAAATAAGACTCGAGGAAATGTGCGTTATAGATAAATTAAAGAAAAAAAAGGTTAAAAATTGTGATTTTACCATTTTCATGAGAAGACGCGAGAATGGCCTGCAATTCTACTTTTGAGTTCGGTAGAATCTTATAACTTTTATTCAGATCTTGTATTTTTATTTAAAAATCCGTTTAATATGTATAAATAATTTATTCATAATTTAATAATCTTTATTTTAAAATTCAAAACTCATAAACTCATAAACTCATCGTCATAATAATAATAATGTACTATATTAAACCATTTATATAGAAAGAAAATCATAAGTCAATGCTACATCTACACGTCCAATAGTAACCCTTCAGAAGTCCCAAGAGCCCAAAAACCGGAAAGGAAGAAAAGGCAAAAAGACGGGGAAATGGTGGGGAGGAATATCATGAAAAAGAAATTAGATGGAGAATGGTTAATATTCACAGCAGCCACATTAATAACCTGCCTAGCCAAGCCAAAAATCAATTTATTTTGAGAAATATTTTTTATCAAAAGTACTTTTGACGAGAAACAATTTATATTTTGGTAATTAACCTGAAAAATACTTATAAGCCATATTTAGTGTTTGATCAAGTTTTTAAAAAATAATTTTAAGTGTATTTTTGTATTTTTTGAGAGATGCTACTTCAAAACTGTTTATGCTTCTACTCAAAAATATTTTTTTTCCTCTAAAAGCTGGGCTAAACACTACAATTTTAAGAAGAATTTTTTTTTTTTTGAAAAAGTGCTTTTGAATTTGGAAACAGGTTATAAGACGGTCCCACAACAATTCTTATGTAGTATTCTCGTTGGCTATTGAGAAGGCCGCCAATAATATTATCAATTTATATATTTATATAAATATAAATATAAGGTAAACAAACAAATAGGAAAACACTTTTGTTGTCCATTTGGTAGCGCATACTTTTCTACTATTCTTTGCGCCCTGTGCCACTACGAAGCGCCTAACAGGTTCGTTACCCTTCAACAAACCCACACCCAAAAATAATACTACTAATAATCATAATGGTAGTAATAACTAAAACCCAGATCCAGTTTTGGCAATTTGTTGAGATTATTGTTATCCTATGGATGCATATGCACCCTGTATGTGTATGTTTTGGTTGATCAATATATGAGTTTGTTTATATGCATCCTGCTTTTCCTCAAGCAGATTTGACTTATATGCATTTGTAATTATTACTATTATTATTAGGATTTTGATAAGCTAAGAAGGGGCTGATATGTCTGGAATCATAGGTCGAACAATGGCCAGCAGAAAGATTTCTGCTTTGGTGAGAATCAATTAATGTTTTTTTCTTTTTGGAGTATTTCTTGTGGATCGACTTTGATATCTTTTTCTGACAAAAAAAAAAAAAGAAAATTGATGAATTTGGATTTACTATTTCAGAATCAGTTCTTGATGGGAAGCAGGGTATTTGCATCTAGAACTTACTCTTCGTCAGCTAAAGAGGTGATTCTTTTTGTTCTGTTTAAATTTGTTCTTATATGCATTTGCCTACTGTTTAATGTTGTTGATGGAGAAAGCATTTAATCTCTTTGTAGATGACAGTGCGCGACGCGCTAAATTCAGCTCTAGATGAAGAAATGTCTGCGGATCCTAAGGTCTTTGTTATGGGGGAAGAGGTACAATCCAAGTTTTTTGCTTAAAGATTCTTAAAATGCAAACTTTATCTGTGAAATGGGCCCAAATTGAGCAGAACTGATACAGAAGATTCATGTAGCCAACCTTAACTAGTTTGGAATTGAGGTTTAATTGTCGTGGCATGCCGTGTTATTGCAAATATTAGCCGACCTAACTAGTTTGGTACTGAGGCATAGTTATTGTTGCTGCAAATATTTATCACTAATAATGTTTTTCTTTTAATCTTGATATGTGTTATTTAATTTACTTATCAAAAAAAGGAAATCTTAATCCGTGTTATGTTTACTCAGGTTGGTGAGTACCAAGGAGCCTATAAGGTCAGAAATGGTTCTTTTCACTATCTTCTCAAGTCTTGCATTATTATCATGCATTCTTTGCCCTTGATGATCATCTTTTTTAGTGCCTGAACATCTTTTTTCTTCTTTTCTTTTTAGATTACGAAGGGGCTTCTGGATAAATATGGTCCGGAAAGGGTTCTTGATACACCAATTACTGAGGTTGTTCCTTCTGCTTCAATTATGAAACTGCTGCTGCTCCTTTCTTTCTTGAACATATATGATAAAGCACTTAAACCATTTTTTGTTCTTTCCTAGGCTGGATTTGCTGGAATTGGAGTTGGTGCAGCTTACCATGGTCTAAAGCCCATAATCGAATTCATGACATTTAACTTTTCCATGCAGGTTGAACTTCTGTTCTCATTTAAAATTGTTGTTTATTCTTTTAATATTTATTGATCTATTTGTTCTTACTCGAAGATCATCCAACAATGTCATTGAACAAAGCCCATATGTATTTTATGTCTGAATGAGTTCACGGTACCCATTTGTGAATGCCAATGACGGAGGGTGGGTCAAGTAGAACTGACAGGCTTCTAGGTTGGTAAGTTTCTGAAGAATGGGGCACATGTCACCTTAGGCGAATCCCACATCTGAATGGCATAGCACAAGTTCACATGGTACGCGCGTTTTTAGGCTCGATGATGGCGTAGCCCAAGGTACAAATCCGTAAGGTCTGTTGGGTTAAAGCGGACAATACATGCCATGGACTTGGGTCGTGACACCATCAATATGATGTGAACTTTTGGGAGGTCGATTGACAATGATTATCTTAAGCAAAGCATGCAAACAATTTGGATTGTGTATGATTGTTTTGGAGTTTAGTTAGTAGTTCTAATATGGTGTTCCTTCTNTAAATGACAATGACTTTTTGAGAAAGAACTATAGTGACAATTGACTTCCATGCTTAAATTTATGTTACACTCATAAAACAAAGGACAGTAGGAGATTGCTTTGTTTCTGAAGCAATGTCTTCACACACCCATGTAAAGTAGGAAGTCGATGGGGACCTTGTTTACATTGAAAGGTCCAGGAATATTTACGGTTTGATGCATTACATTATAGCTAATACCTAAGTGGCTGGAACTGTAAATAGCTGTTGATCATTTGATGTACTATTTGGTGGCCGACTAGATTATATCTGTAGGGGACTTGTTGTGAAGACAGGTAGAAATTTCTTCCTTCAACTATTATTTCTTGGGAGATTGAGTTCTTGTATATTTGTCTCCCTGACCAAATAGCATCCTTTCTTCACCTGTCTATGAACACGTGTCTATAGGAGACCTAGAATAAGATCATGACATCTCCTGTCTGCAAATATGACAAGCATATGAGGTGGTGGGTTCCCGCAAATTCACTATAGCATAGTTTTTATATTATAGTTTTTAACCCCGACCACATGCATAATGTATTTTCTCTAATTTTTTGCAGGCAATTGACCATATCATCAATTCTGCTGCAAAATCAAATTATATGTCTGCTGGCCAGATATCTGTGCCCATTGTTTTCAGGGGTCCTAATGGTGCTGCAGCTGGTGTCGGTGCCCAACACTCTCAGGTATATCTATGAACTGAAAACATGATGTGCTCACCATGTTCATTGATGGAATTGATTCTTAAGTGGAGCCAATAGGCAGAAGTAGACAAGACTGATACTCT